CCTATTAATTTAGCCATTATCATTAAAATGTACCGTAATAACATGTACCAATATGGTAAACTAAGGGAGTCAACTCCTGTCTGTTTTTTTGGCCTCCGTCGTGAGTTGCCTTGCCCACAGAATTCTACACTTAGCTCTACTTCTACTTCTAAGTGAAGGCGAAGGCTAGAATTCTCTGTGGCCTTGCCTCATCCCGGACGACCTCTTGGACCACTCTTTTGCGTGTGTACCATGGCGATAGAAGAAAAGCAGGTAGCATTTTTGTGTCTCTTTGCCTTTGGTGCCGGTGTGTTTGTTGGGTACAAAATAAAATCCCAACGAATGAAGTATCTACAATGGAAACGAGATCGACTCATTAATAAACTAAACGCAACAACGCAACAAATAAACCTGGAAACCCGAAGTTGAATTACTGACATACACAGACTTCCTGTTTACCTTCCCGTCATGCATTTCGGAAAACGCATGGTGCACAGTGAGCTGTCAGTTGTGTATTGAACGGGTTGCTGTGTTGAAATGGAGATTGTTTTGTAGTGTATTCGAAATTTGGACCCTTATCCTGACATTTTCTGTATTTCTAACCTCCTGTGTTCATCATGTCGGAATTTGAAGGTATTGGGCTCGACGAGTGGCTGATTGCTCAGTGTAAAGCTATGGGCATTTCTAAGCCATCTCCCATTCAGAAACACTGTATTCCACCTATTCTCGAAGGACAGAATTGTGTTGGTTGTGCCAAGACAGGTAGTGGTAAAACAGCAGCGTTTGCCCTTCCAATTCTGCAGAAGTTATCTGAAGATAGATATGGCCCCTATGCACTTGTTCTTACTCCGACCAGAGAACTTGCTTTCCAGATTGCAGATCAATTCAAAGTTCTGGGCAAAGAACTGAACATCAATGTGACTGTGATTACAGGTGGTATGGATATGGTACGGCAAGGAAAGGATTTGAACGTGAAACCACATATTGTAGTTTCAACACCTGGACGACTTGCTGATCATTATGAAAGTTGTGATACTTTTAGTTTGAAGAAAATCAAGTTTCTTGTTCTTGATGAGGCTGATCGTTTATTGGAAGACACTGGTTTTGCTGAACAGTTGGAGATTATATTCAAAAAGCTTCCTAAAAAGAGACAAACACTTCTCTTCAGTGCAACAATGACTCCAGCCATCAGACAACTTCAAGAGTCTTCAGAAGAAAAAGTGTTTTCCTGGTCTCAGTCAGCTGATGTTATGACTGTTGATGAACTTGACCAGCGTTATGTTCTCATGAATGCAGATGTCAAGGACGCTTACCTCATGCACATTTTGGAAAAATACACGACGGAACGGCCCAAGAGTTCAATTATAATTTTCACTAGCACATGTAAATATGCCCAAATTTTAGCAATGATGTGTGAAGATCTTGGGTTTCCTTGTGTTTCACTTCACTCTATGTTACCACAGAAATTCCGTCTTTCAGGATTGACAAAGTTCAAGTCAGATCAGGTTAAGGTTTTGATAGCGACTGATGTGGCGAGTCGAGGTTTAGACATACCAACAGTGGATTTGATCATCAATCACAATGTGCCAAACAGACCTAGGGATTATGTTCACCGTGTAGGTCGCACTGCTCGTGCTGGGCGTGGGGGTATGGCTATTACTTTAGTGACCCAGTTTGATGTTCATCTTACAAAGTCTGTTGAGTCTTACATCAACACAAAATTGATTGAACATGCCACAGATGAAAGTGAAGTTATGAAAATTTTGACTGAAGTTGCTGTGTCCAGAAGAGAAGCTGAAATTAGGTTGGATGAGAGAGACTTTGGGGAAAAAAGAGAGATTAATAAGAGGAAAAAACTTATACTTGAGGGAATAGATCCTGAAAAGGAGGAAGAAGAAAGGCAGGCTAAGAAAGCAAAGAGGAAAGATGGGAAATCAAAAGAAGAGAAAGATGCTGAAAAAAGAGAAAGAAAAGAGAAATTTAAGAATAGATTTTCCAAGAAAAAGAAAGCAGTTAAACAATGAACTCGTGGGAAAATGTGTTTGGGTCAGAATTGTAGTTGTTGGGTGTCACATCATGTCAGTATTCACTTTGACATTGACGATTTAGTCGATTGAGGCTCTAAAGAGCCTGTTCGACTATCTGGTAATGAATGAATGAATGATTAGAAGATGCATTGCGTGCAGGCTAGACAAATCAGTTTTGGCAAGTGGGGTTGTAGATAGTCGGGAGATCTTTCCAGTATTTGTCCAGATGTCTCTTTTTAAATGTGTCCTCGTTTGGGGCTGACACCACTGACTCGGGGAGATTGTTCCAAATAGCATTAAAAGCCGATTTTTAAAAAAGTTTATCCTCACACACAATCTACTTCTTTGCTTCTGGAGCTTCTCTGGGTTGTCACGGAGTTGTGTGGTTGTTGCCTTTGTAAAAGCTGGTCTTTCGGTGATGTAGTAGCCTTTGATGTACTTGTATGTTTCAATCATATATCACCATATATATGTAACCAAAAGTCAAAAGTTTAGGCTGCCACCTCAGGTGGGAAGGTTTTCTCTTTGGGAGTGTATACAGACCCGGTAACCGGGAACAAAGTCACAAAGTATACACACCCGGTAGAGGAACTCTTTTGTGATTTCGGAAAGTTTCAGCGCCCTCTTGGCTCAGGGTAGACCCAGGTTCTTCTAGATCTATGGCCTAGGTCTAGATCTAGACCAAGGAGATTAAAAGTTCTATGCTCCTTGATCTAGACAGACAGACATAAATCATTGATCTAGTTACGAGGCTAGCCTAGATCTAGATCTAGATCTCTAAATATGAATATTGCGGATGTCTTTTCGATGAACGATTGTTTTTCCTCTATTTGGAGTTGGAGGAATCACAATGTGAAGAAAAGAAACAATGTCATAATTTCAATCGAGCAGTCACCCCCCCCCCCCCCTCTCTCTCTCTCTCTCTCTCTCTCTCTCTCTCTCTCTCTCTCTCTCTCTCTCTCTCTCTCTCTCTCTCTCTCTCTCTCTTTCTCTCTCTCTCTCTCTCTCTCTCTCTCTCTCTCTCTCTCTCTCTCTCTCTCTCTGTCTTTCTTTCTCCCCACTCCCACCTATTTCCCACTCTATCTTTCTCTCGTTCCCTCCTGCCAACTGGGACATGTCATCTAGCACTTCCCCCTGCTCTCTCTCTCTCTCTCTCTCTCTCTCTCTCTCTCTCTCTCTCTCTCTCTCTCTCTCTCTCTCTCTCTCTCTCTCTCTCTCTCTCTCTCACACACACACACACACACACACACACACACACACACACACACACACACACACACACACACACACACACACACACACTACCGGGTCTAGGCGCTGAAACTTTCCGAAATCACAAAAGAGTTCCCCTACCGGGTCTGTATACCTCGTGACTTGGTTCCCGGTTACCGGGTCTGTATACACCCCGTTTCTCTTTTTCCCACCCCCCTGAGGGGATTTAAAATATTTTACTCAATTTGTGACTAAGGTGTGTGTGTTCTTGTGTTCATGATCAGGGTTGGGTTGATTTAAATCAGGTTGATTTAAATCAGTTGATTTTTTTTATTTAAATCAACTTGATTTTTTAAATAAAAATCAGTGATTTAAATCACTTTTTAAAAAAATAATTTTTATTCGGTTTTTACACATTTCAACATTCAGAATACCTTTCCTTGGTTTCATAAAACAGATATAAGGTTCAGAAGACTAATAACTAATATAATCATGCTTAAAAGTCTGATTTCCCCCCTTTCACTGTAAAATAATACAGTATTGAATTTACTTTTTTTTCCATTATTGAAACCAGAGCTGGGTTGATTTAAATCAGTTGATTTTTTAAAAATTTTAATCAATTTGATTTTAAAAATAAAAATCAGTGATTTAAATCACTTTTAAAAAAAATGTATTCAGTTTTTACGTATTTATACTTTCAGAGTTCCTTTCCTTGGTTTTATTTAAAATGGATATAAGGTTTAATAGACTAATATAATCATGCTTAAAAGTCTGCTTTCCCCCCTGTCACTGTAAGTAGTAAAATAATACAGTATTCAATTAACTTTTTTTTCATAATTGAAATTAGCATTTTCTTTTTTTTTTTTTTTTGATAAACACAAGCGCGTGCTCACACACACACTGTAATAAAAATAAAATGCAAGTTTATCTATGCATAATTACCCCCCCCCCCCCCCCCCCCTTTCCTTTTAGACTGACATTTTCTTCATTTTTTGTCTGTTGCCATAATTCACTGAGAGCAGATTAAGGCTTTCTAAAATTGCAGTTGTTTAAATTAATCATTAGTTAAAATAAAGACAATGCATTTTGCACTAAAAGAACATACTTTTAGCCACCAAAAATCCCAAACTGTGCCATTTAAAAAAAAAAAAAAAAAAAAAACTGATTTAAATTTTAAAAAATCTGATTTAAATTATTTAAAAAATCGATTTTTTAAATTTTTATTTAAAAAATCGATTTTTTTTATTTTTATCAAAAAAATCACCAACCCTGTGCATGATTTAGTTTTACAATTTCATTCATGATGAATGTTTTTTGACGTTTTTCTTTTCTTTCAATGAGATTGATTTGATAATCTAGAGAAAGCATTCAAAAGCTAAAAGTAAAAAAGTCATGTTTTTCCTCTTAGCAAATCATTAGCACTCTCGTTTGAATGTGCTCAATATTTCCAGACCCAACATAAAATTGTAGAGGCGTAAGTCTAGATCTATGTCTACTTAGACTAGATCTGCCAGTGTAGTGTTTATATGTCATCATGTCTAATTCTCACCCCAGGTTTAGAGGTCAGCCTTCAGCCTGTATAAAACATCTAGAATCGGGTATCTAGGAGAAAGATAAGTGACCCGCCCCGGGTGGGAATAACAAAAAAAAATTGGGTAGCGTCAATTGCCACCGAGTGAAGCGGTGTCAAGTCTGAAAACAACACTATCTTTAGCATTATACTTAATGTGTGTCTAATGGGTCAATTTGTTCTCAACTAATTCATTGGACGAGCATCTAGTCCAGAGCTACGGCTCCAACTTGGCGTGTTTTCAATGAGATGTAGGCCTAGATTTAGGCTAGCCTTAGCCTACACTTTGGTGGAGAACCAACACAGGCAATTCTAGAAGTAGGTCACAAACTCAAGCAGAAATTAGCGTATCGAGGAACATAAATCGGGGGACGGGGGTCAGGAAAAGACACACACAAACACAAACACACACACAGAGGGACAGAGAGGCGAACGCACAACACCGAGCACTCAAGCACAATAGTCAATAAGCTAGATCTACCCACCAATGCAAAAGAGCTCCAATTTACTCGGTGGCAATTGACACTACCAAAAAATTATTACCATCCCAGGTGGGAATACTCACTTCCTAAATTTTATTGAAGAGTAGTGAAATTTTCGATGCAAGAATATGTTTTCTACCATACTTTTCCTTCTATTAATTGTTTGAATTTCCCCCCAAAATAAAATAATTTTGAGGGTAAAGGTGCACATTAATCATAACCGTCAGAAAAATTTCTGGAAGGTCGTATGAATATATAATAATTTGCTTAGTGAAGTATAGCCCAGTGCAGACCCATAGTGTGTAAAATTCATTCTCATGCCTCTAGTATCTTCCATTGTTCAATTTGGATCAGAAGTAATTTCTGCAAGTTTCTGAGTGACTGGCTGTCTTACGTACCACACTTCATCAGGTGCTGCGCATTTATGTCAGTTTGTTCTTGCACCTATAATTATCAGTTGATTTGACTAGGATAGTAGGCATGCTTGAGAAAAAGCAAAAGACAACTCCATTGAGGTTTGAAATTAAGTTTTGGTTACTTGATAACTTTTTAAAATACAAGTGCTTCTACTTTGAGTCACATAGTTTTTGATTTGTTTCACTCCAAACTAATGATGTCATGTGTGCCTCTTTATGTTCCTTATTTTGTACACTTTTACACTGGCACTCATTAAGTCGGGCACAGATGACGGTAATATCACGAGCATGGGAAACTGAAAATCAGGGGGATAGCTCATACAATTTGCTTTGCCTTGTTTGTTTTAGCAAGTGTTTTACAGTGCTCACAAACTGAGTTATATGAGCGCCCTGGGCTCTTGAAACATTTTCAGTTTGGTAGAAATTTTGAATTTTGTCTGGGTGCAGCTGAAGCCTACTCTAATATACAGTGGAAACCTGATATAACAGGGATGGTGGGAGTGGAGAAAATGTCCTGTTATATCCGATCCCTGTTAAATCAGAAACGCAAGGAAAGTAAGCATTTATGGACTAATCCAGCTGTACTTATTCATGGTTAGTTTCCATTGCCACAAGTAGGCCTACCCACGAACAGGGGTTTTGGCACCAACTTTCTACTTGCCTCTTAAACCACATCAGAAGAACTTGGTCCACAGCATCTACATCGGGTAGTCTCATTTTCTTTCGATCCAGAGCAAACTTTCCACTGGAGTATGCTGCCACTATCTTCTCTCTATCTTTGATAAATGGAGTGAATCGACCCTTGTGGAATGTCGAACTGACGACAAATCTCTGCCAGTGGAGCTCGCTTTTTGTCAACAGTCTGGATTATTTCGTATTTTTTTGTCAATTGAAAGGCATTTTCTCTTGCGCTTGACACCGTTGGAGACACATTACGTGTGTGTGTTGCTAGGTTTCGGGCTAGATCGAGGTATGCAGCACACCGCAGCCCTCTCTCGTTTCACACACTGTGTGTGCTTGCAGTGGCATGGCTTGCGAAGGCTTGCTCCATCACTGTCTCTCTCTCTCTCTCTCTCTCTCTCTCTCTCTCTCTGTTTGTGTCCTGTGTGTGTGTGTGTGTGTGTGTGCTCTTGCCTGTCTTTGTGCCGGTGTGTCCTGTGTGTGCGGGTCTCTCTCTCTCTCTCTCTCTCTCTCTCTCTGGGTGTGTGGGTTTGTGTGTGTGTGCTTGCGTGCCTTTGTGTCTGTGTGTGCTTATGCTGGTCTGACTTCGAACGTGAACGACGAGGATTTTGTGATCGTGTCTTTG